ACCAATAGAAGGTCAACCTCTGGCTACTGTACTGTTTTTTTGGAGGAAACCTTGTTACTTAGCATAGTAAAAAGCAAAATGTGGTGGCAAAAAGCGCTGAAGCCGAATTTAAATCAGTTGCCCACGGAATTTGTGAGGTGTTGTGGGTTAAGAGAATCTTAGACGAGCTGAAGGTCCCAAGTCCCTCTCCGATAAAGGCATACTGTGATAACAAAGCAGCAATGTCAATAGTACATAATCCTGTTCTTCATGACACAACCAAGCATGTTAAGGTAAACAAGCACTTCATGAAGGAGAAAATAGAGAACGGGCAGATTTGTATTACCTATATACCAACTGATGAATAGATTGCAGATGTTCTTACAAAGGGTATGTCTAAGAAACAATTTGAGAAATTGACGGGCAAGCTAGCTATGGATGATATCTTCAAACCAACTTGAGGGGGAGTGTTGGAAAGGAGAATATTCGACTGAGATTTATTGTTGATCTCTAGGGATTGTCTAGCTGTATTTAATGTTTAAATATAGGCATAGCCAACTCTGTAAATAAGGAAAATTAGTTGTACAGTTATTCTGTTCCTTTTTTTGTGCCATGTACAGCCTATAAGTAGTGTACGTGTATATCATCGCTGTTTAGAGATCAAAACTCAATATAAAACTGTTAGGAATATTAGGTATGATTGTGACGACCGTGTCATCTTTCTCCTTTTTCTGACATTTTTTTTATTTTTATTTTTTATTTTATTTATTCGTTTGTTTATTCCTTTTCGCATTACCTTAGGGTTTTGTAGAACCCGAGGTAGGGTTTGGAGTCCGGAACCGGTTTCTGGCATCTTATGCATTTACTTTATTTTATTTTACAGTCTATGCATGGTTTAATTGTGTAGAAAAGCATGCTCATTTAATTTCAATACTTGGGGGTATGAATGCATAGTTTCTTCGGAAACATTTTCGTTTTTGGGGTTATTTGTGTAATTAACTTTTTGAGATATTTTGGCTAAGGGACCTTTTTGCAATTATTTTTGTGAGATATTTAGAAGAGGGACCTTTTTGCAATTTTTGAAAAGTGTGACAAGTGTCACCTTTTCCTCAGACCATTTGTTAACTTTTAGTTGGAGACACTTGGAAGCATAGGATTGTGACAAGTGTAGTGTGGAGATTCAATCTTGTGAGAAGGCCTAGGATCATGACAAGTGGGGGGGTGTGATGTGTGTATGTGTGTGAGAGGTAGTGTTAGTATAGTTTTTATGCTTTGCAAGACAATGAGTTAGTGGAAAAGTTTGAGATTTTTAGTTGTCTTCCACCTTGCTCTCACCTAGCCACCATTGGAGACTTGAAACCCTAGCCTTGAAAGCTTGTTTCTAACCCTCTTCCACTAAGCTTTTGGTCTTGCACTTGGAAGACAAAAGCTTCCCCTCACCTTCCTCTATCACACCTTAGTTTATAATCATTCTATAGCCTATGTGGTCTATAGAAAGTCAACAAATTACGCAAAGAAAGTCACTTCCAATTACCTTAGAACTTCATATGAGGTTACCAAAGGGTATCATTGGGTTACTTTGATCTCATTTGACTTGTTGGGAATCAAATTTCGTTCTCTTAGGGTATAATGACCATTTTACCCCTAGTATCATATTTGGTTTGTTTTAGCCTTGGCTTCCTCTTTCGTTTCCTGTTTAGAGTTCCGTGACTTCTTAGAAGGTCACTTTATCGTCTTAGAGGTGGTGTCCATCTCTAGAGATCTCTTCTCTTTTCATTGCTTCCACGTTTCAGACTCCTTATCTGGTCAGTTTTCGGGTTACTCGCTGACGCACCGGGTTCTTTGAAATTCGGACTGTTACAAGTGGTATCAGAGCGTCTGGGTTCGAATACCTTAGGACAACGGGTTATAGGTTCATTTCATGCTTCTTGTTGACATGCTTCGATGTGTTCACATGTTTACGTGCTTATGTGCTTCAGTGTTTATGTGTTTAGAAGCATCTTTTATATGACATGTAAGCTTATGTGCTAAATTGTTTGGTGCTTTTACTATGTAACTTAACATGATTGTATGCAAGTTGGTTAGATACTTGGACTCTTGAGTTGACTTTTTACCGAAGTATGCTAGTTGATAGTTTTAGCCATTGCATGTTACTTGTTTTATGCCTTATGATGTATCCTAACTGTTAATCATGATTAAGTGTTAAGTGTCTGTGTTGACCTTGTGCATTGTTCCTACTCGGTTAGGTGAGAGAGATGATAGGACATTGTCTCTTGGGGTCCTTAGTATCCTTAGATACGTTTTTGGTCATTTAGGATTTCTCCCTGGGGTAGGAGGGATTTGTTTAGCAAGGTCTCCACGGTGAGAGCCTTTTTGTCTGTTCTGACGGTTTAGTGGTTTTGAAGTCATGGAATGGTGATGGTGTTTGAGTTGAGTAATTAATTTCATGGGTGTAATTAATCACTCGCTCTTGTGTCATTGTAGAGTGTAGATATGATGAATGACGAGTACGAGTTGACGGGGGATGTTGCTAAGGATAGGGCTTGGACCATTTTGCTTGGCTTCTTGGAGTCAAAGCCTCCTTCGTATGCGGGTGAATCGGGTTCCTTGGAGGCGATCCAGTGGGTGGATCAAATCTCGAGGACGTTTGGGATGTTACAAATTGAAGATGGAGACACGAAGATTAGGCTTGCCGTTTCACAACTCAGGGGTGTAATGGGTGCTTGGTGGGAGTCAATCGTCAATACTCGTGTCATTAAGGGGATGGACTGGGAAACTTTTCAAGAATTATTTCTTAACAAGTATTTTCCAGTGATGGTCAAAAGGAGTTAAGGAGAAGGCTCATTGCGCTAATTCAGGAGATGGTGAGCGTTACGGAGTATGAGACAGAGTTTACCTCCTTGTCTCGCTTTGAGCCAGAGATGGTGCAGACGGAGGCCTTAAAGGTTGACGAGTTTGTGAGTGGCCTTAGATTGGGTATAAGAAGAAAGATTGTAGCTTTGAATTTGCCTACTTACTCAGCAGTGGTTGAGAGGGCACTATTGATTGAGATGGAGGATTTGACGATCAAATGGATTAGACAGACAATGAAGGAGGAAAGGAGAGAGAAAAGAAAGTTGGCAATGCGTCGTAAGGATGGGAGATTGGCATCTTTAGCGTCACCCGGGCATGTGCCTACGGGGTCCTTGCGGACCAATGTGGTTTGTTTTCATTGTCGGCAGTCTGGACACTATGCGGTTGGCTGCCCACTTTCTCAGTCTTCATCAGTGGTTGGGGCAAAGAGATGTCATAGGTGTGGTTGGAAGGGACACTTCAAACAGAGATGTCCTTTGAAGAAGTGTGGTCATGGTACCTCTGGGTCATATTAGGACTTGTGGAGTCTCAGCTAGACTCATCCATGTTTTGGGGTATGCTTTCTGTGAGATGGTCCTTTTGAGAGGCATTCCACTTTACTTGTGATTTTGTGGCATTGTTAGAATCAACAATGTCTCCTTAGACCATAAAAAAGAAGCAACTATGTCTCTCCTCGGACCATTTCTGAATGGGTGGTGCCAAACTCGCAACGTTCTCATTGAGGTTGGACCACCCTACTTACCCGACACCTCCCGGATGGTCATTAAACCATTCCCAAATGGGTGGTGCCGAACTCGCAATGCCCTCATTGCAGTCGGACCATTCTAGCTCTGATACCAAGTAAAAATATAATATAGAAGAAAATGGAAAGAATTGTGTAAAGGCTTGAATGAGATAAATCACTCATTCACAGCTCTACTATTTATAGATAAAAAACGAGCACATGCTCATATTACAAGAAAGGAAATAAAATCAAATCTAAATCAAATCACAGCATATTCTAAAGCATATTCTATGGCATATTCTATAGCATAATCAAATATTTGCTAATATAGTAAGTCATTTCATAAATCATGAGTATCATATATGCTAACAGTAAACATATAGAGGTGGACATTCATTTTATCAAAGAGAAGGTTTGTTCGGGAATTATCAAGCCGTGCTTTATTCGTACCCCTAACCAGTCGGCCAATGTGTTCACCAAATGTGTTGGTCTATCTTTGCTCCATTCCTCGATTACCAAGCTGGGCTTGATTGATATCTTCACTCCAGCTTGAGGGAGAGTGTTGAAATATCTTTATTATTTATTTATTTTTTTTTATTATCTGTTTTTAGCCTTTTATTAGGTATTTTATGTAAGATCCCTATAATCATGGGATCACGCAGATAAGATCCCCGTAATCATGAGATCCCGTAAATAAGATCCCCATAATCATGGGATCACGTAGATTTTGGCATATTTTCTGTCTTTATTTGATTTGGTTTCCTTTCTTTGTACCCAATTCTTGTATATAAATATAGATCTTGGCTCTCGGTTTGAGTAAGCCAAAACCCAAAACTTCTTCTTTTGTACCAAATTTCATAATAAAGGGTGAGAGCTTATGAGAATGTTCACTAGGAAATGAAAACTTGTTTGAAGCATTATAAGCTCTAGTTGATATCTCATCAGAAATGAGATTGGAAAATATATATATTTCACATTCAGATATGAAAAGAGACGTGAAAGTTCAAATGTTTTCTTATTGTTAAGCAAAAAGAAGAACATAGTTCATATGCCAATGATTTGTATAGGAGGAAGGACAAAGGAGAATTAATTATTGAATAGAATATAAAAGGCACAATTCTTAGTTTATCATCTCTGACATCATGGAAACAGTTTTCTATAGCAGCATGTCCATCAGTAAAAGTTCAACAATAATATAAATATCCATTTTCATCCCATGTAAGAATTGTATACAATCCTAAAACAAGAAAGATGTTATTTTCATCATTCATTTAAAGCTTTAGATGAATCAAACACACCAAATTTCTGTCATGACAGTGTAGTACCAGTACGAAGTTACCAGAAGAAGCCGAGATCAATAGTCAAGTTTTCAAAGATAAAAAGATAATTTTAGAAAAATAGAAGTTTCAAGATTTGAAAGAGAATAAAATTTTAATGAATTTACTTGAATGTGGGTATTGAGAACAATTGTGCTGGGATTCTTCCACTTAAGTCATTGGATGAAAGATCCCTGTGAACCGAAAAGATTCATAAGCATTATAAACATAGGCCAGAAGAGTAAAGAGCAAAGGGCAGAATTCTGATTGATTATCAGCAGTTAAAGAAGTAAATAGCTATCCCTTACAGTTCTGTTAATCCTGTAACGTTTGCAAGTGAATCAGGAACAGATCCACTTAAGAAGTTTCCACTTAAAACCCTGTTGCAAAGGTAACAATATTGCGTCAGGACAACAGATAAGTAATTTATGTAAAGAGTGCTTCATTATAAGGGTTTCTTCAGGGGAAAATAAGAAAGAACAATTCAAAGAAACAATTGCCAAAGAAAGAGAGAGAAGGTGTTAGCCAAAGGATATACTTCTTTTCCTCAACTACATACACAAAAAGCAGAAAGGCGAACTTACAGGTGCTTTAGGTTGGTAAGTTGACCCCAAGAATTTGGTATAGAGGCATTAAAACTATTGTTTGCAAGATTCAGATTTTCTAGGTGCAACATGTTTCCAAGGTAATCAGGTAACACACCTGATAGATTATTTTCCTGCAAGTCCCTGCACAGAATTGAAAGCTTCTGATGGCATATTTAATTTGTCGATAACGTGATGATTGTATAACAGAGAAAAAGTGTATAACACAAGGGATAACAGAAGAAATAGACTATAGAAGAAAGAAAAGAGAAATATGTAAAAGGTTTGAATGAGATTTATGAAAGGGTTGAATTAGACTTAACACTCATTCACAGCCAGTATTTATATACTAAAAAGAACACATGCTAATATTACAAGAAAGGTAACTAAATAAAATCATTGCATATTCTATGCCTAGACATATGCGTAAATAAAGTCAAATCCCATGATTTGTGACCATCAAATCTTGGCTAATATGGAAAGTCATATCCCATGATTTGTGGGCTTTCATATCTCTGCTAACACTCCCCCTCAAGTTGGTGCGCGGATATCTGAGACGCCCAACTTGGACAATGCATCCTCAAACACAATCTTTACAAATATATAGCCGACGACTCTGCTTCGCTGCATTAAATTGACTAGCCAAGACATAACCATGACGTTTTCTCCAAGCCATCATGGATACGTCTTATCTAACTCGGTGTCTGCTTAGACCATAAACCATTGGCAGTGTCTCCTTGGACCATAAGCAACCAACCATGTCTTCTCGGCCATCTCTTCAGACCATTTACCTTCATACGCATGTTTAAAATATGTAGATGGAAGAATCTGTCTCCTCATACCATTCCCTTTCATACACATGTTTAAAATATGTAGATAGAATAATCAACAATGCCTCCTCAGACCATTCCCCTTCATACATATGTTTAAACAATGTAGATGAAAGAATCAACAATGTCTCCTCAGACCATAAAAAAACAACCACGTCTCCTCAGACCATTTCCGAATGGGTGGTTTCAAACTTACAATGCCCTCAAGTCAGACAACCCTGCCTACTCGACACCTCCCGGATAGAGAATGTCTCCTTAGACCATTCTCGAATAGGTGGGGTCGAACTTGCAATGCCCTCATTGAAATCGGACCACCCTGCCTATGATACCAAGAAGAAATAGAATATAAAAGAAAGAAAAGAGAAATAGGTAAAAGGTTTGAATGAGATTTAAGAAAGGGTTGAATTAGATTAACACTCGTTCACAGCCAGTATTTATATGCTAAAAAGAACTATTTGGCTCACTAAAAATCAGGTCCCTTCCAGGCAAATGGAAGGGTTGCGGGCGTGCCAGGAACTAATGTCATTCCAAAGGGGAGCTCCAAACAATATTCCAATGTAAAGTTGTCGAGATCAGACGATTGCTCATACATCTTAGGAGACACTCAAGCTGTTAGTATCAGAGTATTTTGGGTACCTCCATTCTAGGTGGGAAGAATTAGCACAATATAAACCTCTCTCCGATTTCTCTGAAGTTGCAACTATTTTGGTCAAGAGATTGGACCGCCAGCATACCTACCAATTTTTGATGGGTTTAAGTGGAAATATAAAAAGAAGAAAAATGAGAGAATTGTGTAAAGACTTGAATGAGATGAATCACTCATTCACAGTTCTAGTATTTATAGATAAAAAGAGCACATGCTCATATTACAAGAAAGGACACTAAATCAAATCTAAATTAAATCAACATATTCTATGGCATATTCTACGGCATAATCAAATCTCTGCTAATATAGAAAGTCATTCTGTAAATCGTGGCTATCATATATGCTAACAGTTTACAATCTCATCATAAACACCTATCCTATACTTGATTTATATGATGCTTTTGCTACTGTTGACCATGAGGAGCATAGACGTCAGATCTCTGCCAATAGCTTTACCAGAGACTCCAGTTGATCAGATGGCTCTTGCTGCTAATTCTAGACTTTTAGAGGGAAAGGTTATTTGTCAATATTATGGAGCCACGGGTATGTAAAGGATCGCTACTTTATGCTTCATCCCGAGCTAAAGTATAAATTTTCTCACAATCGTCCTTCTGGCTGTGGCCGCACTGCCGCAATAGCCGATACTATTGGTGGGTATACTACTCCACAGATTCTTGTGCCTCCTGCTTCAACTCCTCCCAGACATCCTTTTCAGGACTTCAATCAGTTACAGTCCCAGATGGTCAGCTTCACGAGCAATTCGGAGCTTTATCTACCAAGGCTGGCTATTCTACTCCGATGGCTACTATAGCTACACATACTCCTTCTGTTTTTCATGTTAAAGCGGGAGAACCTAATTAGGTTCTCGATTCCGGAGCTGATGATTACATGATTGCTGAGTTGCCATTATTTTCTACTCCCATTACCCCTGTTAATCACGCTATTAATCTAGCCGATGGGTCAACCACCATTATTCGTAGTAAAGGAAATGTTAATCTATCCCCTGATATTATTTTACCATTTGTTCGTCATGTTCCCAACTTTGCATTTAATCTTCTATCTGTTAGCAAACTTGCCAAATCACTAAACTGTGCACTGATTTTCTTTGCTCAGTACTGTGTTTTACAGGACCTGTGTTCGAAGAGGATTTTTGGCAGGGGATATGAGCACGATGGCCTCTACTACTTTAGGGATCCTCCACCGAAACCTCCTCCACTTGCTTCAAGCCTTCAAACCTCTGTTCTTCCAGTTTCTAGATCTTACGATTTTTCTTTTCAGACTTTAAGTTTATGGCATGCTCGCCTTGGGAATGTAAACTTTCAGTATTTATGTCTACTTTTCCCTTCATTAATAACAGTTTGTAAGGATAATAAGTTTCAATGTGAGATTTGTGAGCTTTCTAAGCACACTAGGACAAGTTATATTTCTCATATGCATCGTGCACCTAGTATGTTTGATCTCATACATTCTGAAGTGTGGGGTCCTTCTCCTGTTACCGCTTTTTCGGGGCATCGTTATTATGTCACATTCATTGATGATTATTCCCATGCACATGGGTATATTTACTTAAAAAGAAATCTAAAGGTTTTCCCTTGTTCACTCATTCCTCCAAATGATCAAAACTCAATATAAAACTATTGTTAGAAATATTAGGTCTGACAATGGTCATGAATATGTTTCTAATGAGTTTCAGACTCAACTTAACCAATAGGGTATTCTTCATCAGCTTACTTGTCCATTTACCCTAAACAAAATGGTGTGGCAGAGCATAAAAACTGCCGACTAATGTCAGTTGTTCAATGTCTTTTAAGTGGTATGAATGTGCCAATGTCATACTGGCACATGGCGGTTCTTACAACTACTTTTCTCATTAATTGTACCCCTAGTAGAGTCTTAAATGGTAAGGCCCCCCTACAAGTGCTTCAGCCTAATATTACTCCTTTTTCCATCATGCCTCGAGTGTTTGGATGTACATGTTTTGTTCAAAATCGTAGCCCTTCTCGTACTAAACTTTGTTTTTTTTTTCCTGAATGAAGGAGTATATTAAAAATATCAATATAATACAAAGAAACAAGTAAGGGCATACCCTTACTAAAACAGAAAAAAGTCCTAAACAAGGACAAACCACACAAAACTAGCAAGCCAAGAAAATCACAAAATGTCTTGAAGGTTAACCCCCAACACATCAAGCACTTCCCAAAAAATACATTTAGCAAGATACTTAGCCTCTCTAACATTTTTATCATGTGATCTATTATTCCTCTCCCACCATGTAAAATATAGTGTAGCTGTGAAACAAACTCTGGCCATCTTCTTGACATCTTTCCTTCGAAAATCTTGATTAAATTGATCCACCATTTCTTGCAACACAGAAACCTTTTGCAGATTCCATGTACACACCTGTGATAAAAAAAACTCCAAACAGTCCATGTATACTCACAGCAGCAAACCAAATGATCGACTGATTCCACATCTTTACAGCATAGATAACACCTTTATGCTAATGTAAACCCCCTCTTTTGTAAGAACACTTGTGAAATGATTGCCTTATACATAACCAACACTGCATGAACTGACCATCTAGGCAGTCCACCATTCCAGCACAAATCAACTAAACTTGATGACAAGGCCATTAAATGTATCTTTTTAGGATACTCTTCCATGTCAAAAGCTTACCTGTGTTATGATCCTGTACACGAACACATGTATCACTCTCTTTATGTCACCTTTTATGAGTATACCCCCTTTTATGGTACTAACACTATCTTGAAGGAAACTTCTACTCTCGATCAACAAGAGGCTTCTCCTCTTGCTCGTCCTCTTCCTATTTTTCAAGAAGAGGCTTCTCCTCTTGCTCGTCCTCTTCCTATTTTTCAAGAAGAGTCTTCTCTTGTGGTTTCCTCACCCCCTTTGCAGGTCTATTCTCGCCGCCCTCGTGCTCTGCCTCCACTGCCTTCATCCTCCTCAGATTCAGGTTCAAGTACATCTCATCTCTCCTTTACATTTCCCTAACCCTGCTCCAGAGTCTCGGTATCCCACTTGGGACCGCAAACCCCCTGCTCGATTTGGATTCGCTTGTAGTACTGATCATCCTATTTTGCAGTATATCTCTTATGATGGTCTTTCAAGGTCTTACTGAGCCTTTCTAGGCAAACTTGATTCCATTTCCATTCCCAGAAATGTGTCTAAGGCTCCCAATTGGATGTCTGCTATAAAGGTAGAAATGGATGATTTGCAGCATAATGAAACATGGGAGCTCGTATCTCTCCCTCCTAGTGGAAAGACTGTTGGTTGCAAATGGGTATTCAGTGTTAAATATCTGGCTAATGGCTCTATTGATCGGCATAAGGCCCGTTTGGTGGCCAAAGGGTTTACTCAAATTCCTGGGAAAGACTTTAATGATACCTTCACTCCAGTGGCTAAATTGACTTCGGCTCGTTTGCTTGTCTCCCTGGCTGCCTCTCACAAATGACCTCTTCATCAACTTGAAGTCTTTGTATGAATTAAAACAATCTCCCAGAGCTTGGTTCAGGCGCACGAGTGATGTAATTCTATCCATGGAGTTTATTAGATGTCATTCTGACCATACATGTTTTATCCACTGTTCCTCCACTTGTCGGTGTATCATTCTTCTTGTCTTTGTCTATGTTGATGATATATTCATTACTGGGAATGACATCTCTGGGATTGCTCAAGTAAAGCTTCAATTGGCTAAAGCTTTTGGTGTGAAAGACTTTAGGTAGCTCAGATATTTCTTGGGAATTGAGATTCCAGATCTAAGTAGGGTATCTCTTTATTGCAAAGGAAGTATGTCTTGGATCTTCTTCGAGACACAGGTATGCTTGGGTGTAAACCTGCTTCCACTCCTATGGATCCTAATCTGAAGATCTCGGCTAAGTCTGGAGATCGTCTTTATGATCCCTTGCAGTATCAGCGTTTGGTAAGAAGATTAATTTATCTTACCAACACCCGTCATGATTTGGCTTTTGCGGTTAGTGTTGTGAACCAGTTTATGCATACTCCTCGTACAGCTAATATGGATGCGGTATATCATATTCTTCGATATCTTAAGTCATGTCCTAGACTGGGATTATTCTATTCTTCTTGAAGGTAGGTTGGGCTATCTTGTTTCAGTCATGCAAACTATACTGGGTCCAAGACTGACAGACGTTCCACATCTGGCTTCTGTACTTTCAATGGAGACCATCTTATATCCTCGAAAAATAAGAAGCAACCTGTAGTTTCGAGACCTTCAGCAGAGGCTGAGTATCGTGCCATGGCTCAGGATTCTTATGAGATTCTATGACTTCGATCTTTCTTGGAGGAGCTAGGGCTAGGTGAAAAACAGTCCTCAGACTTGTTATATAATAATAAGTCAACCATCATGCTTGCTTCAGATTTTGTTCTTCACGAGAGGACTAAACATATAAAGGAGGACATTCGTTTTATTAGAGAGAAGGTTCATTTGGGAATTATTAAGTCGTGCTTTGTTCGGTCCTCTAAACAGTTGGCCGATGTGTTCACCAAATCCGTTGGTCCATCCTTGCTTCATTCCTCGATTACCATGTTGAGCTTGATATCTTCATTCCAGCTTAAGGGAAAGTGTTGAAATATCTATATTATTATCATAGGGTACAAAGAAAGGAAACCAAATCAAAGAAAAATATAAAATATGTCCAAATCTACGTGATCCCATGATTATGGGGATCTTATCTACATGATCCCATGATTACAGGGATCTTACATAAAACGCCTAATAAAAATAAAAACAGCTAATAAAAATAAAAATAATAATAATAAAGATATTTCAACAAATCCAAACACTAATTTATCATTTATTATTGACTTCTTTATTAAAGCTATTTGATACTCCCTCTGTCCCATATTAGTTGGGTGCTTTGAGAACTGTGAGTCACCCGCGGGGGGTGGGTGCAATTTACCCTTTAATTAAATATATTATTTTTCAAAGGAAAAGCTTTTATGTACTCCCTCCGTCCCATAATAGTTGGGTGCTTTGGAAACTGTGATTTATCATTTATTATTGACTTCTTTATTAAAGCTATTTGATACTCCCTCTGTCCCATAATAGTTGGGTGCTTTGGGAACTAGGACTCACCCGCGCGAGCCAGGGGGGGCAATTTACCCTTTAATTAAATATATTATTTTTCAAAGGAAAAGCTTTTATGTACTCCCTCCCTCCCTCCGTGGGTGCAATTTACCCTTTAACTATTATGCGTCATTCCTCACCGACATTACGTTCAAGCGGTCACCATCACCGTCGTGAGCCACTAATCATGAACTTGCCATTGCCATGAACCACGTCGTCATAAACCACCTCGCCGTCATGATTAAACCTAACCTTGCCGCGAACCAACCTCGTCACTACCGTCGGACAATCCGAGACCCAGGCTGCCGTCGGAGTTACAATGATGGACGTCCCGGTTTACACGCACCAACAGCATGGGCGCATCAGATCTACTCGCACCAACAGTAGGGGCGCGTCACATTCACGCTCACTAGTTCAGTCCTCAACGTGGCCATCGGAGTTTGCTGCGTCGTCCTCTTCAGCGACCGCCTTCAGCTTTGCCGGAGCACTTTTGGGTCTATCTCAAGCTCTGTATATATATATATATATATATATATCTGTTCCATCTCGATGTTCTCTCTTTTCATCCTTGCTCGCCGACCACAAACCCATCTTTCCTTGCTCACCGAACAGTCTTGCCGTCCTCTTCACCGCCGTTTAGTTGCTTCATCGCCAGTCAGTTCAATCTCTTCATTCGCGTTGCCTTTTCTCGCAAGTAAAACAGCTTGGAGACTTTTGTATTGACGAAAAAAGGACCATATATATATGTTTTTTCATAAATAAATGACAATATATTTCTCTATGTGCCATCAATTATAACCAAGCCCCTCACCATCAGTATAATAAAATGAATCAATCAAATTAACAACCCAACCCCTTCAAAACCCAAATGTCCTTATTAAAAAAAACATCCGATCAAGACCACCATCAAACAACCTGTCCATCAAACTCTACCGGAGATGGTGCCAGAGAAATAGCAGTGAAAAACCTCATATGCATTGCAGACATCAGCTTCTGGCCTTTCTCGCAATTTCCTACTGCTCCACTGATAAAATAGTAAGGTCTGGATTGGTCAAGCGTCACATACCGCTGTCCGCCGAACGAGGGTTTTGGAGGAGATTGTGAAGTGGATTTTGTGGGTATGTGAGAAAAAGAGGGGTTGGGAGGGTAGAATGGTGGTTTCGAAAGGATTTTTGGGTAGAGAGGGAAGGGTTTTGGAGATGGGTCTGGTTATGGGACTAGTATGTTGGTGGTGTTGGCGATGGAGCAGTGACAGTGGTGTCTAGTTCCAGCAGTGGGAAGAAGGTTTAGAGAGAGAAAATGTGAATGAGTGTAGTTTGGTCATTCTAGGTGGTATACAATATTTTATTGTGGGGCATATTAGACATTTTGTATCACTCAAGGCAGTGTTTGGCAATTTATTTTGCAAATGGGGTGTCATTGTCCAAGATTGCATACTTTGGGGGGCAATTGGATCACACTCTCCACAAGTTGTAGATGAGTGGGGGTTGCAATTTATCCTTAATTAAATAAATATATAATAAAATCATTTCATGAAAAACTACTGGCCAGATTTCTATGATCAAAATAATCAAGTCAATAATAAAATGATCTAGCATAGATGTCAGATACATGTTCCAATGTAATAATTAATGATTACTCAAAGTAATCAAATTTTTAGACCCTAGGGTCCACTGAGATAAATCAAAGCAACCACAAACTCATACAGAAGTCCACTATTCCCTCGAAGTTGAGAGTAATTAGTTATAACACCAATAAGGAGAAATAACAACGATGGCAATCATGTTTTCTACAACTTATTCTCGATCTGTTTCAATGTGTCGTGAACATCAACATATTCAATTGTTCTATTTATAATGACAGAAACAAGTCATTCCATAAATAGAAACTTATATGTTACAATCTTAAACATAGTGTTCAATTCTATCACGAATGCGAACACGTTTTCTGAAAATGTAATTACCGTGATTTATATCTCCTGTGCATTTAGCCCCATCGTGGATGCACAAAAATCATGTCAATCAATGAAATATTTGACAAACTCTAGAGTCAACCAATACAAGCATTCACCATATATGTATGTAGAGCGTGTAAACTAAAAATATCAGATCTATTAATAAAAATATGTCAAATACAATCAACAATTGGCTTAAAAGGGCACACATAATTCCAACAATTGGTTCATTATGTCTGAATTAGATTAGAATGACAGAAAAATTCTTTCTTTTTGCAGCTGCTGGTACAGAAAACCAAGTTTTGCCAAGACTTTCTATTTCCCAAATGAAGTTGGGTAACTAGAGGACAGTTTAAGTAGTATCTGAATAAAGTCTTCTCAAATATTTGTGCGACAAACACCAAATACCAGTGTTAGATGATATTGCACTGTTGTGCTGCACTGTTTAGACCTAGGGTTTTGTGCCTCTATATAGCCCACTCTTGTAGTGTTCTCATTACAGTTTTCATATATTCACTCTTTTTTAACCAGTAAAGAGGATTAATTCAATTCAAGTAGCTATGACAAGGCGGCGGCCAAAATGTGGTCAGACAGTTAAGGTGGTATGAAGAAGCCCAATAAGATGAAATTCTATTAATGTACAACTTACAAGCTAACCAGAAACTTCAGTTTAGTAATTGATGGTGAAAGAGTTCCTGAAAATCCATTTGAAGCAAGGCTCCTGCAAATTAGTACATTCACAAACTAAATGTACTGCAAAATATACACAAATTAACCCACAAAATCTTTCGTCAATATATTAAGATTGGGGATACATATACGTATTGCATCCATCAAACTGACAATGTGATTAATTAATGCAATAAAAAAAATATCTTACAAGGGACGCACTTACAGGGATATGACATTTCCATTTCTACAAGTAACATGAGACCAACTAAAGCAAGGGCTCACAAAATGATCATTCCAATCTGTAATTCTATTATTGGAATCATTTAGAGCATTTAGAAACTCAACCAAAGCTTCACCTGAGACATTTGCAAAAATTAAACAAATTTATCAGATAAAGATGGAACCTTTCAGATGATCACTAGTGCCAGTAATGGTGAGGTGTCAGGTCGTTATCTGAATAAAGAAGGAAAAAATTAAATTAAATTAAATTAAAAAAATAAATAAAAAGAAAATGAAAATGAAAATGAAAATGAAAAGCGTTATCTTTTTCAAATATGGCATTATTGTACTACACTGTTTAGACGTAGACACATTTGGACTAAGTCAACATGGATTTCAATTTGAGTTCTTTGAGTTTTCTAACATCATTCATATCATTAAACATGCTAGGATTTGAAATTTACATGTTTGGAACTCACCAAATTAGGTTTCACATGCATTCATATCATTAAACATGCTAGGATTTGAAATTTACATGTTTTGATATTTAAATTTGTGTTTTAGAATGCACTAAATTGCTTTTGAATCCAAATTCATTAAGGAACTAGGTAAGGGGGTTGGATCAGAAAATCGCTCAAAGCTCACCGGACTAGGTTCGATCTATTAAAGCCTCTGAAAAGGGAGTTTTCGAAACTGATTCAAGCCTTGAGACCTTTGTCCTTTTCCGTCTCCAGGTTTTTTTGCTTTCAGAATACTACATCCACAGTGCTTATCATATATGAGGTGCAAGTAATTAACAGAGTATCTCAGTGATGGTCCAACTTTAATTAATGTGATTGATTTCAAGAGTCACAATCACACTTCCACAGTAGTTATCACATATTGGTCTATCATCTTTAACCTACCATCAGTTCCACACTTACTGGTCAGATGTTATTTATCACCAGTGATGAAGTTATTGCTCTTTCAACAGACACCACATAAATATGCATGCATAAGTAGATACACAGTTACATGCACATATATGCCATTCCTAAAGAAGCAGAATAAGGAAAGAAAAAGGTGAAATAGGAAGGTTCAAAAAGGTTTGCAAGGGCCAAATCTTTGATGGTCCAATATTTCAGAGTTATATTATAGCATTATTTCAAGTTTCTTGCTCTTCTCAATTCAATTTAAACCACTCACTAATAGAATATAATTTCTTTTTCTTTTTTTTCAAAATTTAAAAGGCTTATTGTCGACTTTAAGAGAATCAAATCAAAGAGTAAAGTGAAAGAACAAGAAAAATAGAAGAAAGAGGATTAGAGAAAAAGAGAGAGAGATGAGGAAAGAAAGAAAGAATGAAAGAATACTTTCATCCTTCCACCACATCATATTTATAATAATAAGTTTCAGAAATTACACATAAGCCCCAATATTATATAAGTAATAACAAATAAGTCCCTGACAAGTGACAACACTCCCCCTCAAGCTAGTGCAAAGATATCTATCATGCCTAGCTTGAATTAACATATTTTGCAAGCAAGTCTTGCTCACACCCTTAGTCAAAACATCAGCAAATTGATCATGTGTTAACGTATGGAGTATTGTTAGCATATATGATAGCCACAATTTATGGAATGACTTACCATATTAGTAGAGATTTGATTATGCTATAGAATATGCCATAGAATATGATGTGATTTGATTTAGTTTCCTTTCTTGTAATATGAGCATGTGCTCTTTTTATCTATAAATACTAGAACTGTAAATGAGTAATTCATCTCATTCAAGCCTTTACACAATTCTCTTCTTCTTCTTTGTATATTTCTACTTGGTATCAAAGCCAACACCTTTCAACAGCCTTGCCACTTGTGCAACAGCCACCTTAGGCTGTTTGTGACATCGTGTGACGTTGCCTACACATGTTTTTCTGTATTGCTATTTTGTGATTGAAAACAGGTTTTTTTAAGTTTTATAATTTCTTTTACCCGTCTAGGGTTGGGTAAATTGGGATAGTTGGTCGCCAACACCTAGAAGGGCTTGGGTAAAAAAAAAATTAGTCTACAAAGAGGTTCCGGATATTAAGAAGGAATTTGTCTGGCTATATGTAAGCGGGAAGCGCTACTTAAAAAAAGTATGTATTTGGATTTTTCGGGAACAGTCTGAGGAGACATTGTTATTGTTTATGGTCTAAGGAGACCCTTTGCTTTATTAACAGAATTTGTGGTGTTTTTGGAATTTTTTATTGTTGTGTGATAGATTATGGCAGATTCAGGGTCCTCGACTGTTAATTCTCTTGGCTTAAGTTCTGTAGGTGGTGGTGCCATTTTTCCCACCAACTCATCAGAAAATCTAGGATTTCAAATCACCATAGTGAAGTTGGATGGTTCCAACTATTTGATTTGGGCACAGTCTGCCAAGATGTTCATTGGTGGCAAAGGCAAGATTGGCTATATTACTGGTTCTGAGAAAGAGTCAGCTGAGTCTGAGAAGGTATATCCACAGTGGTTTGCAGATAACGCTATGGTCGTGTCCTGGCTAGTCAATTCGATACAACCAAACATAATTGTTGGCTATATGTTTATGAAGACAGCTAAGCAAATTTGGGATTCAATCCAACGCACCTATTCTCAGAGGTAGAATAATGCACGGATTTTCCAACTAGGGTGAGATATCACCAGGATTTCTCGGGGTGACTTAACAGTTTCAGGTTACGTCGCCAAGCTTCATGCTGTTTAGGAGGAGATGTCATATTATGATTCTTTCCACTCTTGGAAGGATCCAAATGATGCAGTTTTATATGCAGGGATTGTGGAGAAGAATCGAGTGTTTCAGTTTCTTGCCGGGTTGAACGACGAGTTTGAGTATGCTCGTGTTCATTTATCGGGCTTATCTTCATTCCCCACTCTAGAGGATGCATACTCCTATGTTTTATCAAATGAGAGCCGTCGGACACATCCATTAGGTGTTGCTTCTATTGATCGTTCTGCTATGGTAGTTCAGGTTCCCAACCTTTCAAGAATTGCACCATCCCAGTCAGTTCAGAGCTCTACCACCGGACGTCCTCTGGAACGACAACGTAGACGGTGTGACCATTGTGCAAAAATTGGTCACATCAATTCTCATTGTTATGCTCTGTGAGATATAATACTTTGGGGAGATTGTAAAAATATATATTTTGTAATTGGCTAATTTCGTTGTTAAAACAAGTCCAGTTGAGTTGTAAAATTTTGGTTCAGAATTTCAAGATTGAAGATCGGATGCGGTTTTGAAATTGTTCAAGTGTTCATACTTTGATACACTCCGGGATGATGAGAATAATGCTTTAGGAAGTTTTCTGAGTGTGTGAGAACACTTAGGAAGTTTTGGAAGTTTTTAGGGATAAATTACATTCTGCCTAACTTAAACAGGTTCAAGAATTTAGCAAACAGGTTCAAGAATTCAGCAAACAGGTTCAACATCTGAGCGAACAGGGTCAAAGCTTTTGATTTGTTTTGGTAACTTTAGTTTCCTGATATGTTTTGATTCCTATTTGATCTAGACTTCCTTCCAAAATCCTATGCACGAAATTGACTTGTTTTTCAAGTACAATTAGGTTTTCAAAAGTCTATAAAAACATGTTTTCTCAATTAGGATTTCACGACTTTTTGCATACAAAAATTCATTATTTTGAGAGTCTTTTGAGAGATTTTTTATTCAGAAAATCAATCTGATTTTTCTGATTTTATTTTTGAGAACACACATTAACACAAAAGTGATTTAGGAGTGTTGTTCTCTATCTCAACGGAATTGGAGCATAATTGAAGATTCAGAGATTCCGAAAAGCAGATCTATTTCTTCTAAATCAAATTCAAATCTTGAAGAAAAGGGGTGAAGCTATCACACTTTGAACGGGTCAAAGCATTCATGGAGTGTTGTTTGATCTACCTGCAACTCTTCTACAGAGATTAAGAGTAAGCCAGAGGTCGAGAGCTATTGGACGGGGGAGTCGCAAAGTCAGGGATTGTCAGCGATTGGTTTTTGGTAGAACGATATAGTGTGAGCCTGAGTCAAAGTTTAGTGTACTTTGCTTCAAACATAGTGGATCGTTTTGATCTGGATTGCACTCCATGAGGTTTTTCCCATAATAATTGGTCTATTCTACCAATTAGGGTTTCCTCGCTAAAAATCCTGATGTCATCTCTCAAACTTTATTTACTTTACTTGAACTTTATCTTTGCTTTGTGGGTTTGATTTTAGTTTTATTTAGATAAAATAAATTTAAGTAAAAATTGGATAAAGGAGCAAATTAAATCTATTCACCACCCTTCTAGGTTATTTATCCATATTATTTTCCACAACCATTCCGCTACGCACTAACTCACATACTCTACATGGACGCTCACTACAACACAAACAACAACCTCGATCCTCTGCACATTCTGTTACACAACCAATCTCGTTGTCAACTCCTGACAACTCTGCCTCTACATCTTCAGCCACAGTTACCTTGACTCAAGCTGATTTGGACAAGTTCAAACAATTCTTCAACCAAATGAAGGTATCATCTCAGCCAACCTCCACTTATGCCCACTGAGGTACTATTGCATCTACACATAGCATATCTATATCTTCGACACCATGGATCATTGATTTTGGTGCTTCAGACAATATAATTGGTTTGTCCTCATTCTTCCAATCTTATAGTATATTCTCTGGCCATCACAAGGTACGCCTTGTAGATGGCTCTCCATCTTCCATTGCTGGGAAGGGTAACATGTCAATTACTCCTTCATTAACTTTGTCAGATACACTTCATGTTCCACAGTTAACTACAAATCTTATTTATGTTAGTAGCGTTACCAAACTATTAAATTGTAGTGTAACGTTCTTTCCCTCTCATTGTATTTTTCAGGATCTAGTGTTGAAACGGACAATTGATAGAGGGCGTGAAGTGGACGGTCTATACCTGTTGGATGCTCCTTTGTCACCTCAAGCACATTTAACTTCATTTTCTAATTTTGTTTCATTTAATAAAGCCCAGCTTATGCATTGGCACATGTGTTAAGGACATATTTCTTTCGGTTATTTAACACATTTATTTCCTTCCTTATTTTATAACGTGGCAATGTCAAATTTATCCTGTGAGACATGTCATATGGCTAAACATGTTCGTTCCAATTATCCTGCTAGTAGTAATAAATCTGCTTTAACACCTTTTGATCTTGTTCAATCAGATGTGTGGGGTCCTTGCCCAGTCACTTCTAGTCTTGGATTTCGATATTTCATATTCTTCATTGAAGATCATAATCGTGTTACGTAGGTTTATCTTATGAAAACCAAAAATGAGGTGTACACCATTTTTTAAAAATTTATGACAATGGTTCAGACTCTATCATCCTACAACCAGTGATATTGCATACGAGCAGATTGAGCACACTCCATATAGTTCGTCTCATCCTGCCTAACAGTCACAATACAAAGACCTGAATGGTGATCACCACTACCTCCCAAAACTGGAGTCAAACTTGGGGAAAACCCAGCTTTTTTTGAAGTCACATTTAAGCCAGATATTTTATCAAACAGTTTCTGGGTATTAATCCTCATAAACAAAAACAGCAAACTTCAACTAAAAAGATTGCCGTCTTCTAAGATGTATAAAGAAGTGACCACACAGTCACCACACAAACCCTAGAAAGCAACAAAGTAGACCATACCAGAATCGTGAACAACGAAGAAAAAGCCGCTGTTACAGAACCTCGCGAACACGAAAAAAACACCAATCAAGACTGCAATGGATCAAAAACAGGTCCAAAAACTTTTGGAATCTCTTCAAAACCCTTCACACCCACTAGGGTTTACACAAACTTACCCTAGGGTTTTAACTACACACCTAGAGCTTTACAAACCATGCTCTGATACCATGTTGACTTTAAGAGAATCAAATCAAAGAGGAAAGTATAAGGAGAAGAAAAAGAGAAGAAAGAGGATGAGAGAAAATGAGAGACAGAGATAGGGAAAGAGAGAAAGAATGAAAGAATACTTTCATCCTTCCACCACATTATATTTATAATAATAAGTTTCAAAAATTACACATAATCCCCAACATTATATAAGTAATAACAAATAAACCCTGTCAACACTAATGAATCCAGGAGGATGAACTGCACCACCTTAATCTTTTGCATGACACAACTTCCTATTACTTGAAATAATTGAACTGAGAATAGTTGTTGTATAACTTTTTGTAATTGGAGACCGAAAGATTTTCATAGTACAGAATGCAGCAGATATGCGTCCTTCAACTGATGGTGCTAACATATAGCGCAGAAAGTTGGACACAAGTCTGCACTTGTTCAAGTGAAGGTAGAAACTAACAGCCTTTTATGGTTGAAGGCCTTATGTTTTTTTTTAAGCAAATATGGAACACCCTAATCACTCGTTGATCAACGAAAGACATGCAACAGATTAGTGGGCAGAAATAAAAAGTATAGCAGCATCGATGTAACGCCCATCCGTTGCAAATGACATAAAGTTTGACCTGTAAGCTAAATAAATCAGTGCCAAATAATCTCTATCCACAAGAATCTTATTAGAGTAAATTGAAGTAAAACACAGAATTTTGTTTTACCTTCAACATCAGGCCCATTGGATGAATAACTTATTTTCAACAAAAAGAGGAGTATGAACCAGATAACCAATAGCTTAAAATGGAAATGACATTTGGTAAAGGCTCCAAACATGTGACTGGCTCCCAGTAATTCCTTGTCACTTTTTGGTAATTCTGTGTAAAACAAAACATTAATACGGAAAACAAAATTTTACTTAAAAAAATATTGTAGAGGTAGAAATTCACACTTCATAGTACAATAGAGGCAAACAGGCAGTCAAAAAATTGCATCAGATGCATGTTTGCAGCAATAAGATAGTTTCATTTCAAATTAAATGCGGAATACGGCCAAAACAACATAAAACCAATTAGGCATCACATCAGTGTAGTAGCAGATAGTATAGAAGTAATCATAATTTTCCTGTTATATCAAATAATATCTAAATTTCAAAGCTCAAAATACTCATAAATGGGGCAGATAAAGGTATTCAAATTTCACACTTACAGTGGGGTGTATAATTTAATATTTGGTCTCAAATAATCCCAGTTCTCAGTGCTTAACTTGTCGAAAGAACAGAATTTCATTTTTATAAAGTTACAATGTGATTTTTCCATTTAATTCATCCAGAAGATTTGCATTGAAAAACATACCTCCTTAAAGTTAAAAAAGAACCTTCTAATATCTGAAAGAAGTCGTCACTTTTAACAATTGATAAATCAAGTTCACAAGATCCAGTGGTGTAATACATGTTGAAACAATTATTAGGTTTATTTAAAACATGTTAAGAACATTACAAATTAATAGATCAAGTCCTTAAGAGCTAGCGGTGTCCTACAAGATTTTAACAAGACATCGGTCCAGTATCAGAATGACTCATGGTGTTTCAATTTTTCTTCTGTACCAATTATAAGATCAATGACTTTAAACACTTATGTCTGTGACATTAATGATTTAGCAAAACAGCATAGGTCTAAATATAAGATTTGTACTATTGAACTTCTTCCATGGATCAACTATGTAGTACAATAAAATAAAATCAGTTTCCTTGTATGCAGAAATGTGAACTAGCTTACAATCAACTAAAGGACATTGCACAGCATGCAGCATAGTCTTACTGTTACATAGCACACCCACTGTTAACAGCTTTTTGAAGCCTTGTTCCCATTTCAACGTGATTTATCATAGATTAAAAATAATAATAAGAAGAAAACTACCTCTGTAGTGTGCATTACGGAAAACTTAACACCTATTTACTATTTATAACCAGTTTCAGTCAACAAATATTAGCATTGGCAGACTCCATTTTCCCCGTCTTCTCTTGGTTTCTCTCTTCTAATGGTGCAGAAATCTACATTGGAGGCTAGAACAACAAGAGTTGGATTATTTTTAATTTTTTTTTAAGCAGCGGCAACCTGTGGATGGGTCAGATTTAAGATATTTTAATTATCTTTTTGTGCTTCATTTTATTTTTGCTTAGTACAAAATGAACCTCTATGAAAACACGTTTATCGTTGATGACTGGGAATCATATTGTTATATTATCAATGTGCTACTTACTTCTAACACTTGTGTAGCGGGAGCTTCGTGCACTGGGCTAGCCCTTTTATTTTATTTCTATTTGTTTGGCAGTTGTTTGATACAAAATTTAAGAAGTAAGAATCTAGCAATTAAAATCACAAAAATACATATATATGTTACCTTTGAAACTTTTTTGTGTTGCTAAATGTATCTTTTCCTTTCTTTATGTTAGACTTTAAAGTATTTACAACCTATTATTTAGTAGTTAATAGTAATCACTAAACTAATTGTTAAATGTATGTTACAACTGATCAAATATATGATGCTTAATGCAATTACTAATTAAAAAATAGGTGACTAATTATCTAGTATGTAATTAGTACTATACTAACTCAGTGATGACTCATGATTTATGGGTATTCATTTGTTTTTTCCCTTCAATAATCAAACAGTACATTATTTAAGAATAAATATTTAATTATAGTGCCAAATTGCTAAGTATAGTTACTGCTTAGTACCTGGTAATTAGTATCCCTATATTAGTTACTAATTACGAAATTTTTATTCATTCACTTTACTGTTTTTTTTTTTCCTTCTCCATAATTGTAATATACTTTTAAGATGCCAAGCGAGGAAGCAACGGAAAGTGAGGCCCCTAGTAAAGAGATTGGCCCCAAGTAATAGGCACAAGCGCAACCAATCACAAAATCATGGTGATCTTCTCAGGATTCTTCTTTAAAATCATCCGCCCTACACCCACGCCCAAGTATAGTTTTGTATTGTATGTTCTGAGGAAGAGAGGTTGCTAATGGAATTACTCAATTAAAGCAACACCTAGCACATGAAAGCGGACAATTTTTTTTTTTTTTTCTTTTTTGATAAATAAGCAATTCATAAAAGCGTTGAAAAGGGGAATGCGTCCCTACAAGACCACAAAAACCTGGGTACCCTAAGGCCCCAGGGAAGCCAAAAACTCAATAGTCTCCTCAGCAGAGGAACATAGTCTACCCGAACCCCAAAAAAAAAAGAGAGCTAATAACAGAAGATTTGAGAAAAAATGACCGAAGATTCCTCTCCTTCAAAGGATCTTCTATTCTGCTCCCTCCACAGACACCACTGAAGACACAGGGGCGCCATCCTCCAAAACCCTTGAGCCTGTGCTCCCACCCAACCCCCTCTCCAGGTGTCCATCAGACCTCTCGTAGATCTAGGCATGACCCAATAAACTCCAAATAAGCCTAACAAGAGATTCCAACATTCGACCGCTACTGGACAATGCAAAAGAAGATGGTCAACCGACTCTCCATTACACTTACACATGCAACATCAATTCACCGTAATATGCTTTCTCCTTCTCAAATTATCCAGTGTCAATATTTTACCCCACATGACCGTCCAAGCAAAGAATGCCACTTTCAACGGCGCCTTTCGCCACACTGCCTTCCAAGGGAATACCTCCCCAGCTCGGTCCAAAAGACATCCGAAGAAAGATCTCAAACTAAACATTCTCCTAGAAGAAGGAATCCAAACAAGAGAATCCCTACCACCTCCACAGATCACCTGGCTGTACAACAACTCTAAGAAACCAAAGACATCATCCATCTCCCAGTCCTGAAAAGATCGCTGAAAAAGCACGTCCTAAACCGGTCTCCCGCTATCAAGGTGATAGCAGTCAGCCACCGAGGCATGCCTATTAACCGCAATCCTAAAAAGTCTGGGGAAAGAACATGCTAAAGTGCGATCTCCACACCACAAATCCTCCAAAAACCGAATCTCCATACCATCATGAACTCTGAATCTAATATGCTTAGAAAACTCATTCCATCCCTTCTGAATGGCTTTCCAAACACCAACGCCTCTAAGAATAGACACCACAACAGAACACCACCCCCCAAAAAAGCGACACAAGATAACCCTCCTCCACAACCTATCCCGCTCAATACCAAACCTCCACAACCACTTACCTAAAAGGGCCTGTTAAAAGGCAACAGTGTCCTAATCCGAATTCCTCCGAACTTAACAGGCTTACACACCTGCTCCCGGTGAACGAGGTGATATTTAAACTCATCCCCCAAACCTCCCCATAAGAAGTTCCTCTGAAGTCTTTCAATAGAAGCAGTAACCGAGGACGGAATCTGAAAAAGGGATCAAAAATATTTAGGAATGCTCGACAAAGTGCTTTTCACCAAGGTAACCCTCCCACCTTTTAGTAAATATTGCTTCTTCCACCCCGCAAGCCTCCTCTCCACCCTCTCCACCACCGGATCCCAAGCACCTACAATCCTTGAAGAAGTCCCCAGAGGCAAACCCAAGTAAGAAGTTGGAAAAGAAACTGACTCCACAATCAAGAGCGGAAGCTAGCTCCTCAATATCCTAAATCTCCCCCACTGGAATCAAAGCGCTCTTCCCCACATTCACTTTCAAACCCGAGAATGCCTGAAAACAGATCAACATCGACCTCAAATATCTCATCTAAGACACCTCAACCTCGCAAAAAACCAAAGTATCATCCGCAAATAAAAGATGGGAAATCTCCAACTGATGCATATCATCCCTTCCCACAATAAAACCCCTGATAAAACCCACCTCCACAACCCTCCGCATCAATCTACTAAGCCCCTCCATAACAATGATGAACAGAAGTGGGGACAATGGATCTCCCTGACACAAACCTCGTGAACTACCAAAGAAACCAGTCGGAGCCCCATTCACCAACACCGAGAATCTCGCTGAAGAAATGCAGAACTCAATCCATTTCCTCCATTTATCCCCGAAACCCATCCTTACCATCACATATAGTAAGAAGCTCCAATTAACATGGTCATAAGCTTTCTCCACATCTAACTTACACAAAACCCCTGGAACCCCACTCCTCAACCTATCATCTACACACTCCCTGGAAGGGCAGAATCTAAAATCTGGCGCCCACCTATGAAACCATTATGAGATTCCGAAATAACCTCATCCAAGACCACCCTCAATCTCAAGGAAAGAACTTTGGCTATTAGTTTATAAATGCATCCCAACAAACTAATAGGTCTAAATCCTTCACATCTGCGGGTCCACCCTTCTTCGAAATGAGGGCTATAAACGAAGCATTCAAGGATTTCTCAAATCGCCCGAGTATGAAAAGCATGAAAAGTACCTGTTAGCATATATGATACCACAATTTATGGTATGACTTACCATAATAGCAGAGATTTGACTATGCATATGTTAGCATATATGATACCACGATTTATGGTATGACTTACCATAATAGCAGAGATTTGACTATGCTATAGAATATGCTTTAAAATAAGTTGTGATTTGATTTTGATTTGGTTTAGTTTCCTTTCTTGTAATATGAGCATGTGCTCATTTTATCTATAAATACTAGAGTTGTAAATGAGTAATTCATATCATTCAAGCCTTTATGCAATTCTCTCATTTCTCTTCTTTTTATATATTTCTACTTGGTATCAAAGCCAACACCTTTCCACACCTTTCAGCAGACTTGCTACTTGTGCGACAACTACCTTAGGCTATTTGTGACATTGTGTGACATTGCCTACACATGTTTTTCTGTGTTGTTGTTTTATGATCGAAAACAGGTATTTTTAAGTTTTACAATTTCTTTTTCACTCTTCTAGGTTGGGTAAATTGGGATAGTTGG